GAAATAAATGCAACAAACTCTACAATGCAAATGACCACTCATCCATGTCTGCTCACCTTTACTCTATCTCTATCAAATCCAAAAGAAACAAGAGGTATGGAAGTAGAAAAGAAAAGCAGGAATTTTACTCATTGACAAGCTAAAAGGCAATTGGGCCAGGTATTATGTAGGGCCTGAAGGGGAGTGGGAAATTTTGCCAGACTGCTCAGGCATCCTGCTCGTGCTCACACCCTTCCCAGGTTGTTACAGAGAATAACAGTAATAAGAGGGGGTGGAGTAAGAATGCTGAATGATAACTGGTAAAGAAGGTGCTGCAGTAGTGTTGGAGGTGAACCCATAATTGGTTTGGGTGGGGTAGATGAGATGTAATCCCCCTTCCCACCTCCCCTCTTCAGCCTAGTTTATCCACTCTGTTAATGACAGCACCACCCACTTTTGAAAGCATTATACCTTGGAGAAACTTCAGCTGGCAGTATGCCTGTTAATTCAATGGGGTAGGGAAAAGACATGAGAGGAAAACTTTTATTATTTCTTCTCAAAATGGGAAAAAGGTGAGGGTAAAGACAGTTCCTTATTGTACTTTACAGTACAGTCCCTCAAAACATAAGAGCTTAATTAATACTTAATAAATCCAAGACACAAAGGGAAAAAAAATAAACCTTAAAACATTTTGATTACAGGCTGATTTTAGTTTATAGAAACCATCCCAATGCACAAATCAACAACACATCCTTTAGCTCTTGGAAATATTTACATACTCATTACCTTCAAGCCACCTAATTTTAGAATGCATATCAATTTACACATTAGCTAAAATGAAATAAACTTCAGACATTGGGAAAAAAAAGTCTGGCTAGGCAAATTAAGCATAAACAGGATTTAAAGCAGAATGTTTAGCCTACTTATGGGATTAACTCTGCAAATTTTAAACCATTTTAACCAAACCATTTTTATACAATGCTCTATTCACAAATTAACCAGTTCATTAAAGGGGAACAAATAAAATCCAAGTGATAACACTCAGCTATTAGTCTGAGTTACTATAAACATATATATAAATAACATTAAGTTACTCTGTAATTATTATTTCCCCCAATTACCCTTGAAGTCTTCCCTAACAATACCTTTTGAGTGAACAAATTCATAATAACATGTAAATAATGGGTTCTATTCAAGGGATTTTATTTTGTCAGTAAGGAAGCTGACAAAATTGTTACACCTGTAACAAGGGGAAGAAAAAACAAGAGTAAAATCCTATTAAAGGTAATTTAGTTCTCCTTTGCACTAGCTATCCTCCATGCTGAGATTTAGTTCAACTTTTTTGGAATACCCGATTTAATCTTTTAGCCCAAATATCATCTTCTGAAAGAAGCCTTTACTGATCCCAAAATATCTTCTATTTATTCTGTGCATATGCATACACACACACAGATCCCTCCCCTCCGGTCCATTAGAATGTAAACTCCTGACACAAAGCAGGCAATTAATAAAGGCTTAATAAAGGCTTAATGACTGACTATTGCTCAGCTCAGCTGCTGTTCTGCAGAGCTTAACAAATCAATTTCAAAGGAGGTGGGGAAGGTAAATTTTAAGTCCTCCAGTAAGTTCTTTGATTTTTTTGTCCCATTACTGACAACAATGGCTGGCATGTATCAGATATGTATAATAAATGTTCAAATTCTAAATACAAATGTGACAGGAAACATTTAAAAATTCTCATCAAAACTATCACCTTTATAAATAAGAAACAAAATCAGTTTCCTCATCTGTAAAATGAGGAGGTTGAACTAGATAGCCTCTAAGGTCCCTTTCGGCTATAGATCATAATTACCCTATAGGAATTTAAGACAATAGACACTGAAAATGAAATGATGAGTAAATTGTAGCATCTATTTATATAATTTTAACACTGATCTGAAAGAAATCTATTGAAGACAATGTAGATGTATTATGATTACACTAAAAAAAAACTTAAAGAGACCTTAAGAATGAGTGCTTTGCACATAGCAAGTAGATATTCAACCTGTTAGACTAAAGTGAGTTTCAAACCTATTACTTTAATCACACGTTTAACAATATCCTAGAAGAAAAATCAGGATGCTTACAACTATCCAGGAAATAGGAATGCCATACACCACAAAGCCAATGACCGAAATTTGAAACTTAATTTAAGTGATTTATGATAAAGAAATCTGATAAAGACATGGCTTAGGCAGGACACGCCAAAAACTCCTCAGAATACAAGTACCTTCCTATTAAAGGTCTTCAAAACAAAGGATCCTGTCAAGTACTGTAACATTTTGAATGTAATACTTGAAAAGTCATGGGTTTTTACAACTTATCTTAAAATTTCAAGCTATTTGTCAAGTTATTGAGCTACATGACCTACAATATGTGTAAGAATTCTTTGTACTTAAGTTTGCGTAATAGGCCACATTTTTAAAATACTTAAGTACAAGAAATAATATCTATGACAAGAGTATATAACCTATCTACATTTCATCTTTCTATATGCTTAGTCACTTGTTTGATGTCACTGATGTTTTTTAATGTCAGGCCTGCCTTCCATATGTATCACAAGCAAAATTACTGACTTCTTATTTTAAGAAATAAGTTGAAAGAGAAGTGTAACTATCTCTCCAGTTTTCAGTCAACTTAAACATTCTGATATCTCAGAGAACAACTCTGTTTAATGAAGCTTTGATTATCAGTACCAGGCAAATATTAAGACAAGGTTTAAACATACTTGTCAAGGGTGTTTTCACCTCTGAATGATGATGACTTGCCCAGAGTGAAAATGGAAAAGGAATCCCCTCTTGAAGGTGAGTTCCTCTAGATGGTTTTGTTTTCAGAAGACATCATGATGAAAAGTATCAAGCTCCCAAATCTTAAAAGGCATCTTCACTGAGATACCTTGTTACCTAAAAAAGCAGCCTAACAATTCATGCAAGAGAAATCAAATGCATGAAAAATGCCTTTTCCAGACTACAATATGCAGATGGATGAGCAATAGTTAGTCCATCAGTACATGTAAAGTGACTATCCTTAATCATTTTAGATGGACAAAGAGATGGTTCCAGATTTAAATAAAATAAGTAGGTTGGATTGCATTCGAGAAAATAAGCAGTGTTTTCAACTATTTCAATCTAGATTGCTGCCTTTACAAAGCTTTACTCCCCTCTATGCACTCTATGATCCAGATACACTTGCCTACTTGCTGTTCTTCACACAACACTCCATCTCTCAGCTTTTAAGTTGGCTGCACCCCCATACCAACAATACTCTGCTTCCTCACCCCTGATCAGTTAGGTTCCCTTCAAGATTTAGTTCAAAGCCCATTATCTAATCTAAGTTTTTCCCTTTCCACCATACACTGTGCCTCCCACCCCAGCTGCTAGTCCCTTCCCCATCCTTACCTTCATTACCTTCTATCTACTCTGTATATATTTATTTACACACTTTCTTCCTCCAGGAGAATGTGAGCTCACATTGAGGGCAAGGGCTGTTTTTGCTTTTAGCACAGTGCCTGACACACAGCAAGTGTGCTTCCTGACTGATACATAAGTCAATCTTTCAACAGTATTACCCTCCTGGTGACACTTGTGAAATGATAGAAGACCACAATCTTCAAAAAAATCAGAATTAGAGATGACTTGAAGAACAATGGAGGTAACATGCTAGACTTAAGTAGGTTGAAGACTATCACCAATTATGATTTATATACAAGTGGCATAAGTGAAATTCCCTAGGAAATACATGATCAGTTAAATGAAATGTGACAGACCCATGGTGATGTTAAGAAAACAGAAAATATTAATTTAAACTTTTTTTTTTAAAAAGGAAATGGGCTGGTCTTATATTGGGTGCCAGTGACAACAGATAAATAGCACAAATTCTGGGCTGGTACCCAAAATATGCAATAAAATCCACCACAATAGGTACATTTTTGCTCAACTGAGGATTTGTAGAAGGATATGGCCAATAACAGCATGCAAGCAACTACGTATGGACTGTGATCTAGATTAAAAGAGAGGGTTATCCACATCTATAAGATCATAGAACACTGAACATGTGCTACCAAAAGACTTAGCTTTAAATCCTAGCTTTGCTATTTACTATTTGTGTGAACTGTGACATTGCAAAGACACCTAACTTTTCTGAACCTTTTTCCTTATCTGTATGTGAGTAATAATACTACTTACACTACCAGAGTTTAAGGCAGGGAAAGTACTATGTAAACCTTAAAGGCCTTGAAAAACATTATTACAAGTATTTAAAATAAATGCTTTTCAATGAACTACATTCCTGAACCTGATTCTGTTACACCAAAATGTCTTTGGTTCATATTAATTCCAGCCCTGGGAAAAGAAAAGTGTATAAGCTTGTAGGATCCCAGATGTATCAACTAACAGGCACTAAGGGTAGAGTAAATAAAGTAAAGTAATAATTCATTCATTATTCCCACCTCTGGTTGGCCACAAGCTCATCATCACTACAGAACCATTAGAAAAATGAGTATGCTTTTACAGGGACTTCCAAAAGAAAAAAATTATCTACATGCTAGAGCTTCACTGAATCCTTATACTTAGCTGCAATTAGGCAGGCCATGATAATTATAAATGTTACATCTTTAAAAAAAATTAAGAAGTGTCTTTAGCAATAAAGATTAATCAGCACATGAGATAAGAAAATCCAATCAATTTTAAGAATACTGCAAATTCAGGCATACTATTTTCACTGTGGGCTAACACACACTTGGCACAAAACATTTAGATCAAACAGCATTTGGGACATCTAACTGGCAATCTAAGAATCTATTTGCCAAGTTCTTGATTAACATCCTATTTATATATTCCTAATAACACCTACAAATGTCAATACACTTTAGTTGTAATAGAAAAAAAAATAGACAAACAGCCTAAATTCAACTCTGAACATGAAAAGAAGTCCAAACAAGTCATAATCATTTTTAGCAGAGAAATGTTTTTAAAAAGCTTTACCATGCAGAGCTATGGCTTCACGGAAGGGTTGCAAATCAGTCTCTACAGATGAGCTAGTTTCTGTTGAAGTAGCTCGGTTAGGGGATACTACAGTTAGTCTTGGGGGAGCTCTAGAGTTTCGTGGAGGAGGAACTTTTCCACAGAGGAAGCTGATCAAGTCTTCTCTACGAATAGTTCTTCTGCGTTTTTTAACCCATGCTAACACATCCTTATTGCGACGCTGGTAGCCAATTTGAATTCCTAGATCAAAACTTCGTTGATGGGCATCCACGCTTTCTGTTAAAAAAAAATATATATTTATCAGTTATTATGTTTTTATAAGGTTCCAAAATAGAAGCTTTACAAATGGCTCAGATCTAAGAAACTGAGACTGACTTCAACATAAGCATGAATGTTATTTAAACTTTTAAAAAGCTATTGTTAAGGGATGGCTAGGTGGGGCAGCGGATGAAGCTTGGAGTCAGGAGGCCCTAAGTTCAAATCCGACTCCAGACACTTGACACTTCCCAGCTGTGTGACCCTGGGCAAGTCACTTAATCCTGACTGCCTCACCAAAAAAAAAAAAAAAAGAAAGAAAAAAAAGCTATTGTTAAACTGACTTGGAAATATCATAGATGACATTTTACCTAATTCCAAATTTTAGAGTTTCATGCTAAAAGCAATTAGATCCATATCTCACCTCTTTAAAAAAGACTGCCTAACTTAAACAATTCAACCACGTTTTATTTTTTACCAAACTGACATTTCCTGGATGACTAAAATACTGCATATCTCCTTATGTAATAGAATATAAAATATAAAGAAAATTTTATAGAAAAGTATTTTAAATTAAGTCTTATCTTGAATAGGTCAGTTCTGTTTCTTCACTGATAAGGTCTTATTATGAAATTTATCTCAGCTTTTTGTCTTAATTTTTAAACCAGGTACAACCATAATAATTGTGTTTTAAAAACTCAATTCCCACCCAACCTCCCAATTCAATGAAATTGTTGGAAATGATTGAGAAAGTAAAGCTGTGCCCACTTCAAACACAGCTGCTTTTTTTAAAAAACTTTTGTGAAATCAGATCATAAATACATGTTAATTTACAATGCAATTTCAGAGATACATTCCCATAGAGCAACTTAACAGACCTAATAAAAAGCATACTCAACACAGCAAGCCTTGTTAAGGTACATTTTTAAAAGGGAAAAAATATCTTTTTTGATGATTGTAAAATATTAAACTTCAGGGTGAAATGAATACTTTACATCTTTCTTGGATCCTAGGTACTCTGCAGTTATGTCAGCAGCCCAGATTCTAGTAAACCACTTCTACTGCTTATGGACTCAACAACCTAGAACCTTGTCCTAAAATCTGCCACACCATCTCACTTTTCACAGTTATCCACTTTTGTACTTTACTCTGGTTCAGGAAAATAATCCATGTTAATCTAACAGCCCTTTTGGTACAGTTTCTCTAACAGTAAGTATTAAAAAAAATCTTAAGTCACTATAGTTTGTTTCCAAGTCTTAGTAGTAAATTAACGACACATTTCTAATCATTTGCAAATAAAGCATATCCCTTATTCCTGGTCTTTTTGTAAAGAATTCTTTCATAAAATGAAAAAAATTCCTTAATTGATCATATTCTTCCACTGCAGTTTCAAATCCTAAATGTCTTTTTAACCTAGGCACATCTTTGGAAGGAGAAGATAATGACTGACTAACTGTAGTCCCAAAAATAGTAGAAAATGATTCCATTTTCAGAGCAGATCCCAAACAAATAAAAATGGAAATTTGGCACCATGTGGAAAATGAAACAGGGACGTATGTCACTCAATAACAACAAAAAAATTCCTCCCATTATGTCAGATCCTTATTAGATACACTGAACAAAATGCAAAATTATTCCATACACTATGAGGACAAAGTCACTATGTGGGTTAGTTTTTTTTTACAGATAAGGTTCACATTTTTGGGGGGGGAGCAGAGAAAGGAGATATATAGATATCTCATATATCCACACTCACACATATATGTATATGTAAATAAGTGATATAAACACAAAGGGCATCAATCTAAATAACAAAAATGTAAAAAGAATTAGAAAAACAAACATGAATATCATGCAAAAATTTTCTAAGTTCATAGCTAAATCAGGAGAGATAAATATACAGTTTTAAATGTAAATAGTTCCACTTGTATTATTTTAATCTTTATTTTGTTTTTATTCATTGAGTTAACTCATAATAAAATTTTACTTAAAAAAGCAGGATTTTATCTGTACACTTGAGAGCTCATTAAAACAAGTCCCCCTTCCAAAAAGAAAAAAAATAATTTAAACAGGTTAATTACAGCTAAAGATACATCATAAAATGAATATAATGCTCAATTATGCTTCCACTAAGAATACAAGAGAAAACAGACAAATTATAGCAATTAGAAAAAAGAACCACATGGTATATACACTTTCCCATAGCTGACACAAGGAATTACTTTCAGCCCCATGATTAGAGGAAGAGGTAGTAGCCATAAAAAACAAGAAAGTGAAATCATGATACAAAACCTAAGGTGCCTCACTGTACCCCATATCTCTCATTTGGCTTCCAGCATACTAAAGGAGAAAAGGGAAAGCCATTGACAGAGAGCAATCAAGATGCTCAAGCCTATACTGAAAAAAATCTTTTAAATTAAGTTCATAACTAGAGTAGTCTACTCTTGACTCCCCCTTCACTTCTCACCCTCTCCCACTAAGCATTCTTCAATGAGTAAGGGCAAAAGATAGTTTAGGAGGCACATAGTTTAAAAGGAACTGAATGGAGGTAAGGCTCTAACCAGATTACAACATTCCAGGAATAAAAGTCAGGTCAGAGAAACACAAATTTTAGCAACAAAGATATGCAGAACAAATATACAACAGGCTTGGACAGTCCAAAGTATAAGATGAAGCAGGCAAGGAAATATATACCTACAAAACACAGACAGCAAAAATGAAAAGTAAAATTTCATGTAAACCAAAACTGAGAAGGGCCAAGAAAGTGGTTAAAAAGATGTAACACTGCCGATTCTAGGCAAAGAAAGGAATTCTGATTGTAATATATAAAAAGTAAAATTTTCAAAAAACAAAGACCATAGTCCAATCATGCAGATTTAAGGCACGGTTTAAAAAATGTTTCACTGGTTGTAGGTATGCATTAATTTTGCACTCTTGCTAGAACACATATTATGTAGGACAGTCATTTCAGCTCAGAAATTTGTTTTAAACCCTTGCTATCCTCACCTGTAACATGAAGCTAAGCAAAGAGCCTTTAGAAAACAAAGGACTCAATATTTTGTGAACATTAAAATTTCAGAAATACAGTATACAAAAAACATACAAAGTCAGCTATGTCTAAGATGTTCAGGTGTATGCTTTTCTATTTCTAGGATAACTAAACTACTAAGCTGTATACTATTAAATCAATGCACAATAGTGCAAGGATAGTCTATTCTCAAAGATTCTCCAATTCCAGTCATTTCCCTAAGCAGCAAATAAGTCTAATGTATGGGAGGGAAAGAAAACTTTTAAAATTCTAAACTTTAATGCTTTACCTGTTTTAAAATAATATATTCTTTCTCACGCTATCTATTTAGATGGCATAGTAATGCTTATTTGTGACTTTAGATGGACTAAAATGCACTGTCTCGTTAGCATGAGATTTCAACTACCTACAAGAAAAGTATCAATAGTAGTAACTAACATTTATATTGTACAGTAAGATTTACCAAGCATTTCTCTCACAATAACCCTCTGAGATACATAATTTAAGAATTATTACCACCATTTCCCAGAAAAGGAAACTAAGACTCAGAGTAGTTATGCAACTGACTTTGGAGGACACTCCTTTAAGTGTCAGAAATTGAACCTGGTCTCTAAGATCCAAGTTCAATAAATTTTTTTGGTCAGATGTTTTGATGATAATTCAGGGTTCAAAAAGAGCCACTGAACTTTAGGATTAAAGGATCAACTTCAATAGCTAAATCCTACTCTATCTTTGAATGACATAAACAAATTGTAACTCCTAATCTCTAAATCTATGACAATTCTATAGGCTCCCACCAATAATTAAGTATAACCACAGAGCTTCAGGGGAGTATTAGTATCTAAGGGTGTGCTGGAGCCAGAGAGAAGTGGCTACCTATTGTTGCATTTTCCTATCGTGCATTTAAACCTCAGAATTGAACAAATGCTACAAATCAAGGCTTGGTTTATTGTTTTGTTGACTGTCGAGACTTGAGTCATTAAGAAAATGTTTACAATCCAGATTAAACATAGGTATGTTTCTTCCCCCAAAAAGCCAATTGTTAAAACATTTACCATACCACTGCTGGTATCCAAGGCTACTTTCCTGAAGCCAAAACCCAACTATCATAAAGATGAAAGCTGGGCACAACCCCAACAGTTACCATTTATCTTCATATAATCAGATCTTTCTTATTAAAAATAAATGGATTCATAAAAGTAATTTCTGATCAGCTATAGTTCACATTTCAATACAACAGTGTTTATGTTCCATTGAAATTTGAGAACACGATACTATTTAAAGCTAAAAGTTGTAGCATCTCAGAATTTTTTAGTTTGATCAGAGGACAATCTTTCAAGATTGCAAAGAACCAAAATCCAAGGCCAAACAAAATTAATCACAGCAAAACATTAAGTATTAAAATCTTATAATTATCAATCTAGCTGTCCACAAAGGACAAAAAACTTTTCCAGATTCATCTCAATTAGAAATTTAAGATTTTACAAGTGTTTCCTATCTATGCTGTTCGAGTATGAAATAACCATAAAGAAATAAAAACTAAGAAAAACTGTCTTTACTAAGTTCCTTCAAGGTAACAATCACCTAAGTCTACAGAATATGATGAATGCTTTCAAATCCTACCTAGTATGTTAAATCACATAATTAGACATCTATTTTTAAACCCCAAAATGATCAGGAATAGTGCATAGAAGGCTGAGGAAATCGGGAAACTCTAGATTCAAGCCCTGTCTCCTATACAGATAGCTGTGTGACCATGGAGAAGTCAACTCTTTCAGTGTCATTAGGCAAATCTAAAACATATTAACGAAGAGATATATACAGATACATATATCAGGAAAGAGAAGCTCCTGCACAGACCAAACAAGAAGTCCAAACCACCACCAGCAGCACCCCCAAAATGAATTTATATTCTTCATATATTCAAATTTGTATTCATGAATTTATATATTGTGTGTATATTACATTATATACACTTATACATGTATATGTG